TGAAAAGAAAATTACATTTAAAAGAAGTCCTTTGCTCTGGGCAGCAAGCCCCGTAAGAATGTTAATAGTGAAAAAAAACTGATAATGTTTACAGGCATAATTTTATTTAAAAAAATTAAATTATATGTTTTAACTGACAACTAAGAAAACCAAACAGAACTCAGGGTAAGTTGGCAACTCTTCATTGCTAATAGATAACAGTTTGTAATTTTTAATCGTTGTTTCCAATTTATAGCTGAGTCAATAATTTGCTTTTGGTTCTATGTAATACTCCTACATATCAATGCATAAATAGTTCTAATTTGGAAATTATGAAGCAAAATTCAGCACCCTGGAAATCCAGAAATGGGGTGGGGGTCTCTTACTGGTTTACCTTCTACCTTGGTTCCAATCTGCTTGAACAATATTAAAAGTCCCAAATGAATCAATTCTTCTACTTATTCTCCTTCAATATTTTCTTCTTCTTCTTTTTTTTATTAAGCTTTGTTGACCTTCTGGTAGTTACTAACCCTTACAAGTACCCAAACAAAGGACCTACTGTAAACTTTGATTCAGCTGCCAATTTGATTACTTTGGCTTAGAGAGAGGCAGGCTACTTGGGTTGTTGAATCAGGGTCATTCATTGACATTCTCTTTTTTCAACATCTGTAGCTCCTGGCAACCAATTCCAGAGTGGGTTTGGCAAAGCTGTAGACCATAAATGATGCAGTTAGTGCAATGTGATCAGTGTACTCTTTTCATAGTTGGGATGAATTATAATCCTGGCTTTCTTCATGGCAGTATGCTTGCAGTTTCACTAAAAACAGTTCTCCATCCCCCTCCCCAGGAGGCAGCCAATGGGTCTATTCTTGTCTTAGTTGTTACTTGGGTGCTAGGTGCAACAAAAGGTGTTTCTTATATTTTGTTTTCAAATAGGATAGCTATAACCATATACTTTGGAAGTTTTATTTGCATGTTTCAGTGTACACATTTTGTTAGTTTTTTCTTAATTTCTGCAGAAACCACCTTGTTTAAGGGAAGTCTTTTCATGTCAAAGAAAAATCAAACTCTGCATCTTCTCAACCTGACAATAGTGGAAAGTATTTTGTGTATAAGAATTGGGTTTTACCAAGCTTAGGTTGCTAGTGCTCTGCTGCTTTCCACTGTCCCACTATCCCTTAAAAGTAACAAGCTCAACATATTGCTAAAAGTCTGAGGAAAACCACCTCTGATGTCTCATTTAGGACTAAGAGAAGAGGAAGAGAAAAACAATAGAAACAGACATTCAGAGGTCTGGATAAGAACCACAGTCTATAGACTTTAGGGTCTTTTTTTTTTCCTACCTCTATGGCTTGGAATTCAAATCTCAGAAGTGACATAAATGAGATCTGTCAATACTACATTAGAAATAATACATAAAATACATTTCTGGCAGCAACCACCTAGCATCTTATGGATGCAAAAAAATAAAAAAAAAAAGCAAGCCAGGGCAAGGGTTGTTAAGCTGATCTATAAAATAAAATAAAGTAATTCAGGTTTGGGTGAATCATTATAATTACTATCACTTACTAAATAATTATTTGCTCTTAATAGTTGAATAGTACAACAGTTTTTTTCTATCATATTTTACTGTTTCTTCTACCTTAATACTCCATAATGATTTATAATCACACTATAACTCTTAAAATCTATTTCACATCCACCTGCACATCCCATTTCTTTTTCAAAAGCATGGAATTGCTACCAGATTTACAAAACCTTTGAGTTGAAAATTACTCATGAGGTAATCCTGCATATACCATATAATAATCCTGAGGTATCTAGCATATACCAGAGCAGAAATCACTTTTACCAAATATAAATATCTCCACTTGGAGACTGCTAGTGCATTTCTGTAAAAAGTCAGTATATTCAAAGGCAGTCTGTTCCACTTTTGGATATCACGCACTATTAAGAAATGATTCTTTTTATCAAGACTAAAATGTCTTGTCTCAGAAACTTCTGCCTTTTTTCTTCCTTTTCAAAGACTTGATCAACTAATTTCTCTTCTTTGTGACAATCCTTCAAAGACTTCAAAGAGGCAGAGCCAAAATGGCAGAGAAAAAGCAGGAAGTTCCCAGAGCTCTCCCCAGTTTCCCTCAAAACAACTTTAAATCTAGCCTCAAAACAAATTCTGGAGTGACAGAATCCACAAAAGGATGGGGTGAAATAATTTTTCAGCCTAGGATAACTTAGAAGGACTGTAGGAAGATCTGTCTCACTTGAGTAAAAGAGGAGTGCAGCCAAGCACAAGTGGTGTCTAGGCAAGGCAGAGGCAGGCCTCTCGCTCCATCACAGATCAGCAACCAAGGTCCCAGGGTCCTGGCTCATCAGGCCAGTAGCACAGCGGGCCAGTAATGAGACTTCCAGTCCTGTTGTAGCAGGGGAACTGCAGCTCTGGAACCCCCAGAGCAACAGGTATGACCCCGCCATGTGACCCCAGCACAGGGAGTGAACTGCCAGCCCCAGAGGCCCCTGAGCATCAAGCCAGTGACCAAATCCCTGGACCCAGTGAAAGAAGCTTGGAACAGTGACCTCTGTGTTCCAGGAGCAAAGCTCAACTATAAAGTCATGAAATAGGCAGGAAAATGAGCAAAAAAAACAAAATAAAAAAAGCCCTGACCATAGAAAGTTACTATGGAGACTTGGAAGACCAAAACACAAGCTCAGAAGAGGACAGCAATATCAAAACACCTATATACAATGCTTCTTCTTCTTCTTCTTCATCATCTTCTTCTTTTTCCTCCTCCTCCTCCTTAACATCCTCCTCCTTTTCCTCTTCCCCCTCCTCCTTCTTACTTCATCACATGTGGTACTTCTGTCCATGTGGGGAGTCACACCCTTATATGTGGGTGCTCTATCCAAAGGAATATAATTTTTTGGTTGCTTATACTTTGTAAGATATTTTAGCATTTGGGGATAGTAATTTTTTTTTAATTTTCTGTGTATTTTATCTTTTGAAAAAAGCTAGGATAACTAACTCTTTGTCTTGTGTAGTTTTAACTTATGATTTCTTGAAATACAGCTCTGGAAAAACAGGTACAGTGGAAGGGGTGTGAGTAACTTTAGAACAGGACATTGGGGAATTTGGGTTGAGAGGAATGGGAATAAGAGATAGAATATAGTTTGAATGGTGATAGCTGGCAGTTCAGGATCCCTGGGATAGTGGGAGTATTACCAGGGAGAGTTTGTAATTCTAATTATTATAGGGAACTACCAACGTGTATAGTAAGAGAATTTTAGCTGTATATTAATATTTACTTAGTAAGTTATTTTGCCTCCTCTTCTTGGTCTCATCTAATGTAGTTAATATGTTACAATTGTATTGAAAGTGGTTTTATTATAAAATCAGACACAGTAACTTGGCAGAGTGTGAACATTTCCAACAATGAAACACACAATTATAGTTTTTGAGTTACACATATATGTTAATCTCTAACATTTATACAGCTATCTAAGGTCTGTAAAGTGTTTTTTCATATAGATTGTTGTGTCTCTCCATAAACTTGTATCCATTTTAAAGATGAGAGAATTGAGCTTTATATCATTTATGTGACTAACTAATGGTCACACAACTAGAAGGGATTAGATTTGAACTGAAGTTTTCTGGACTCCAAGCACTCTGCTCACAGGCTGAGCTGTAGTGGGCAACATGGTATCCTAAGCAGTCATAAAACATTTGTTCATCAATATAAAATCTGCAGGAAATCAGGGTAGACCTCATGAAACATAGGAGAAGATCTGATGAGAACCTGAATTTAGTATATATTTCCTTCTTATTCTTTTCTTGATTTGATTTTCCTGGGAATATTGGAGGGTAAGCTAAGTACATCGGTTGCACGTAATTACTTACAATTCTCTTAGCATGATGATTTAGGAAATGTTTTTTTTTTAAAAGACTGAGAGAAATTAGCATTGGTGAATGTGAATTCTACATGTACCCAGACCTGTTTGGGTTTGTTTTAGTATGTTTTAGACTCTGCAATTTCAAATTAAGTTCAAGCGTCTGAAAGCATCTAAGTGTACCACAGCCTATTTTATTAATGAAACTGTTGGTTGTGTTCAGTTACCAAATGGAACAGGCCCTGGGTTTTAAAGTTCAGCCTTTCAGTATGAATTTAAATTGTTTCTTGAAATTCAATTGAATTTTTAAGAAACTAGAGAACATTTAGCAAATTAAGAGTGTCAGAGCTGGTGGCAGGAACACAATATCTGCTCTTCACAGAATCTTTAGGACCTTTTGGATGCTGTTTTATAAGTTAGGAAATGAAGAGAAAATGCTTTATTTCAGTGTTAGAAATCCTGGGAAGGAAATATAGGCAAGTTCATTTTTCCAAATTAAAAGAGAAAATACAATTTCTAATTAAAGTTATTTTGTAATTACTGACAGAATCTTTATACAATAATCATACTTTGTGTATTTTCACTTTGATGCAATTTGGATTTTTGTAAATATGTGCCACATCTAGCATATATGTCATCAATGATAGAAGTAAACTAAATTGAGCTTTGCATGTAGTGGTTGCATCCACCTAGGGAGAGCTATCAATTTCACTGGTGGGTCTTTACCATCTCTTTGGGTAGTTAGTTCTAATAAATCATTGTAACTAGAGGGATAGGTGAAGAAGGAAAGATGGTGGATCTAAACAATGAATACAAAATGCTACTTAGTGTAAAGGTGTCCTCAGGTAAACTTCTGAAATTTAAATGCCAAAAGTGTCAATTCTGATATCTGATATGAAAAATGTGTTTAGGAAGTATTTTAATTATATTGTTTGGTTAGACTTAGAGTTTTAACATAATGCCTCTAGAGATCTCTTATTTCAAGCACATTGCCTTGCACATAGTATGTACTTAATATATGTTTGGTGATGATGATAAATAACAGATAGATTTCAATAGATGAATTCTTTGAAGGAAAGAAGAAAATGACTCAAAAATAAAATTATTTTAAAATATATACTCTATTTTTTTTAACTTAGGTGAAATGGAAATTCCTGATACAAATGACCCTTTGGGACAATTGGATGGACCTAACAACCCTATTCCCACACCAAAAGGTAAAATCTAAAATCTTAACATTGGAATCAAATTATTAAATGCATATCATGAACCATAACTTTAGAGGAACTTATCGCTATCTTTTCCAGAAGACAAAGTAAAATTCAGAATTATTCCACTCCTTTCATGTTGTGTTAAATCAATATAGAATAGAGATAATAAAAAATAAACCAATAAATTACATTTATTCATTTTGAAGACACTATTCCTGTCACCCAGGTTCACAACCTTGGCATCATTCTTAACACTCTTTTCTCCAACACATTCAGTTAGTTTCCAGGTCTTGTCATTTTTACCTTCACAGCATCTCTTTCACTAATCTATTTTTCTCTACTCACATGGCCACCTCATAGTTATCATCTGACTCTTGTAGTCGTCTTCTAATTGGTCTCACTGTCCCAAGACTCTTCTTTATCCATTCTATCCTTTACACAGCTTCCAAAGTGATTTTCCTAAAGTTCAGGTCTAATCAGGTTGCTCAACTCCTCAGTAAACTCCAATATTTCCCTGTGCCTATAGGATCTGGAGGATCCTGGATAAGCTCCTGCCTACAGGATAAGTTCCTCTGTTTTACTTTTAGCCCTTCCCAATATGGCCTCGATCTACCTTTCTAATCTTATTTTCCATTATTATCTTTTCTATTCCTTATCATCCAACTAAACTGCCCTTACTTCTATTCTTCTTATATAGCATTCTATCTTCTTTTTCCTTGCCTTTGCATTAGCTGGCTATACGCTATGCCTGGAATGTACTCTCTTCCCAAACCTCTTGTTAGAATGTCTTCTTTCCTTTAAAACTTGGCTTAAGGCACTCCTTCTACATGAAGCCTTTCCTGATGACTCCAGTTTACCCCCATAAATTTACCATGTGTTTATTTTGTATATACATATTTATGTGTCTCCCCTAATAGAATTCAAGCTTCTTATGAGCATGGGTTGTTTCATTTTGGTCTTTCATTATGACACATAATAGATACTTAATATATACTTATTGATTGATTCATTGATTAGAACTCAAAGTGACTTTAGAGATAATTTAATCCAGTCTTCTTGTTTAATCCAGTCCTCTATTCAATGTGTCACCTAGTTGCTCAATGTTAACCTTTAGCATTGTAAATAAGCCTCCAGTGGAATAAACTAGGGCATCTAGGTGACACAGTCAATACTCAAAGAAATTAATTCCATATTGATTGATTTGATTTTCTTGATGTCCAAGGAACCCTCAAAAGTGTTCTCCAGCATCAAATTTTGAGTGTTGATTGGGTGGTTCTCAGCTTTCCTTATTGTCCAACTCTCCCAGCCATACATTTACTGGAAAAACCATACCTTTGACTATAAGAACCTTTGTCAGCAAGGTGATGTCTCTGTTTTTTTACTATGCTCTCCAGATTTGCCTTGGTTTTCCTTCTAAGAAACAAGTGTCTTTTAATTTCATGACTGCAGTTACCATCTAAAATGGTTTTAGAACCCAAGAATATAAAATCTGGCCCTGTTTCCATTTCTTCTCCTTCTATTTGCCAGCAAGTGACGGGATCAGTTGCCAAGATCTAAGTTTTTGTTGTTTTTTTTTTTTTTTTGCTGTTAAGCTTCAAGTCAACCTTTACACTCTCTTCTTTCATCCTCATCAAGTCACTCAATTCTTCTTTATTTTCTGTCATCAGAGTGGTGTTATTGACATGTCTGAGATTGTTGGCATTACTCCTGGCAACCTTAATTCTGGTTTTTGATTTGTCCAGGCTGTCATTTCCCATAATGTACTCTGCATTTAAGTTAAGTAAATTGGGTGACTACACACACCTTGTTGTACTTATTTTTCAATTTTAAACCAATCAGTTGTTCCATGTTCCAACCTAACTTTTGCTTCTTAATCTGCACACTGGTTCCTGAGGAAACAAGTTAGGTGATCCTCTACTCCCATTTCTTTGAGAGTTTGCCACATTTTATTGTCATCTTCAGGGTCAAAGACTTTAGTGAGATCAATGGCAGAGAAGTAGATGATTTTTTTCTGGAACTCCCTTACTTTCTACTGAATATTGTCCAGAGAATTTTGACAATTGGCAAGACCACTCTAGTTTCTCTGCATCTTTTAAAACCAGCCTACTCTTCTGGTAATTCTCAGTTCGCATATTGCTAAAGCCTAGCTTGCAAAATTTTCTTGCTGGAGTGCAAAATGAATGCAATTGTTTGGTAATTTGAACATTCTTTGGCATTGTCCTTCCTTAGGATTATGATGTAAATTGATCTTTTCCAAGTGAGTGTTACTGTTGAGTTTTCCAAATTTGCTGGTATATTAAGTGCAGCACTTCAACAGCATCATATTTTAGGATTTTAAATAGCTCAACTGCCACTTCCACTTCCAGGAGCCAACATGGCAGAATAAGTCGCTCTTACTCTCCTTTATTGACTTCTGAAAACCCAGAAAATATTGCCCCAGGAAAACCCTGGAACAGCTGAGCCAGTAGAAAGATGGTGTGTAGTAGACTTGTAGTCCAAAAACCTTGGGGGATTAACAGGAAAGGCTCATCTTGCTCTGGGGGAGGGCGAGCAGTACAGGATGGAAGGCATCCCAGCAAGCCAGTGGCAAGCCCCACTTTAGCATACCAGGGGGAGATTCTGAGCCCCAGGGTGGTGGAGCAGGCAAGCACCAACACCAGGACTCCCTGAATACCTCAACGCAGGCAGGGGAACCAATAGACACCAGCTTAGAAAACCACCATGTTCAACAGCCTTCCCCAGCAGCCAAATGTTCTGGTTCATCAGCACAACTCCAGGAGGCAAAGCTCCATGCTGAGAGACATCCTCCAGCAGTGAAACATGCCTGTGCAAGGCACAGGTGAGCAGGAGCCAAAGAAAGTAGTGCAAGGTCTGGGTGAACAGGTGTCTCCCAGGGGGCAGAATCCCCATACCCACCCCAAGAGCTCCAGTGTTGCTCAACCCAGCCAAGCACCAGGTAAACTGCAAGAACCCTACAGTCTCCAACTGCCAGCATCGAGGCCCCAGCAGCCAAAGACAGTGAGCAGGTCCAAGGCTCACAGAACAAGAAGCTTGGTTCAGTGGCCCCTGAGCTCCAGCAGCAGAGCTCAACTCTTTTTAAAAGTCAGGAAATAGGCAAACACTTTGAGCAAAAAAGCACAAATGGAAAATTACCATAGATTCTTATTATGGGGACAGGGAAGATCAAGGCACAAATTCAGAAAAGGACAACATTATTAACATACCCACATCTGAAAACCTCAAAGGGTTTTGATGAACTGGTCTCCAGCCCAAAAAACCTTCTTATAGGAGCTCAAGTAAGATTTTAAGAGTCAAGTATGAGAGATAGAAGAAAAGTTGGGAAAATAAATGAGAGGTATGTAAGAGAGAGTCAATAGCTTAGAAAAGGAAGAACAAAAATTAGCTGTAGAAAATAAGTCCTTAAAAAATACAATTAGCCAAATGAAAAAAAGTACACTGAAGAAAACAAGTCCTTAAAAATATAATAGGTCAAATGGGAAGAAAAAGTACACTGAAGAAATCAACTGCTTCAAAAGTAGAATTGGCTAAATGAAAAAGGAGGCACAAAAACTCACTGAAGAGAAGAACTCCTTAAGAAGTAAAATGGGCCAAATGGAAAAGGAGATACAAAATCTAATAGAAGGAAACAATTCATTAAAATTAGAATTGGACAAGTGGAAGCTAATAACTCTATGAGATATCAAGAATCAGTCAAACAGAAACAAAATAATGAAAAAAAATAGAAGAAAACATAAAATACCTCATTGGTAAAAACAACTGACCTGGAAAATAGATCCAGAAGAGAATTTAAAAATTATTGGCTTACCTGAAAACTATGATGATAAAAAAGAGTCTGGACAGCATCTTTCAGAAATTCATCAAGGAAAAGTGCCTTGAGGTACTAGAACCAGAGAGTAAAATAGTCATTAAAAGAATCCACCAATCACCCCTACAAAGAGATCCCAAATTGAAAACACCAAGGAATGTGTTCTAAATTCCAAAATTACCAGGTCAAAGAGAAAATACTACAAGCAGCCAGAAAGAAGCAATTTAAATACCATGGAAATACAGTCAGGATTACACAGGACCTTGCAGATTCTACATTAAAAGATTGGAGGGCATAGAATATGATATTCCATAAGGCAATGGATTACAACCAAGGATCACCCCAGTGAAATTGAGTGTAATCCAGGCGAGGAGATGGATATTCAATGAAATAGGGGGCTTCCAAACCTTCCTGAAGAAAAGATGAGAGCACAACAGAAAATATGATCTTCAAATAAATACAAGACTCAAGAGAGGCATGAAAAGGTAAACAGGAAAGAAAAAAAACCAAAATGTTTTTAATAAGAACAAATTGTTTACATCCCTACAAGGGAAGATGACACTTGTAACTCTTGAGAACTGTATTGTTATTATGACATTTAAAAGAGGTATACACAGATAAAGGGTGTGGATATAAGTTGACTTTAATGTGATGATAAAAAAATCTAAGTGGTGAAAAGGGATTGTTCTGGGAGAAGAGGAAAGGAGGAGGCAGACAAGGGTAAATTCCATCACATGAAAAAGCACAAAAACCTATTGCAGTAGAGGGAAGTAGGAGGGGAAAGGGGAAAGAAAAGGGAGGGGTGAATAGCAGGAAGGGAAGAAGTAGTAAGGTAAAGGGGAAGAATACAGAGGGGGCTGATAGAAGGGAAGGCAGACTGAGGGAGGTGGTGGTCAAAAACAAAACTCTAGTGATGAGGGAAAAGGAGGAAGGAGAGAGAAAAGCATAAATGGGGGAGGAAATAGGATGGAGAGAAAGACACAGATAGTAATCATAGCTGTGAATGTGAATGGGATGAACTCTCCCATAAAACGGAAGTGGATAGCAGAGTGGATTAAAAATCATAATCCTACAATGTGTTGTTTACAAGAAACACTTTTTTTCATAGCATATCATATTATATCTATTATATTATATTCACTAGGTCCATTCTGACCAGATCACCTATAACCACCCCCTC